AGCACATGACACTACAGCAGCTACCAAACCCAGCGCTTATTCAAACTCACTGACAGCGCTGTTAACAGCGTTTAACGCTTATGAGACATAAAACAATGTGTGTGGAAGAACATGCAAATAGAATTCAAAAATATTAAGACAGAATTCATTCATTCATCCATCCATCCATTCATTCATTCATTCATTCGTTCGTTTGTTTATTTATTTATATATTTGTTTATTTATTTATTAAATAATGGAACAAAATAAATGCAATTTAAAAAAAATATTTTGAAAAAAATCTATATTTTCAGAATATTACATTAAAATGTCCTTTATAATTTGTTATAATAATAATGTTTTCAACATATTTGTTTATTAAATAATGTAATTAAATAAATGGATTTTAAATATTTTATTTATAAAAATATATATATATATATATTTTTTTTTTATTTTACAATAATTAAAATGTCCTTAGTAAGCTGTTACTATAATATTTATATAGAATTTAAGAATTGACATGCTAATAGTTTTTGTTATAATTTCCTTTTTTATTTATTTATTTATTTATTTTAAATATTTTTATATTGCAAAAAAATTTATAAAATTTATTTTAAATCATTTATTATTATTATTATTATTATTATTATTATAAACAATTGATTTAATTTATTTAATGTATCATTTTATATATTTTACATTCATTTAAAATGTCCTTATAATCCGATGTAATAATACTGAGATTGAAGTGAAATCTTGATATACTCTGGTTCTTTATTATAGCACTCAAACATGGTCATACACAGTATTTGCTAGCACTGGCATGTATTACAATCTCTGATAAATGTGCTGCCCCATCAAAAAGAAAACACTGGAGCAATGCACTGCTGTCAATGTAAAGTAATTTCATGTGTGGCTGTTTGTCGATAACAATCAAAAACAGCAGTGTGCTTCCCACAGTGTCTGAGCAGTTAGCAGTATGCACACTTACACTCACACACTCACACACCATTACCCTCACAGTCAGCCCGCGCTCGCCGGAGGAGCTCGGCCAATTACCCACGGGGTCAAATGCAAAAATATGCGGTCATGCTCACGGTCACAAACACGCAAACACGCCGCGTCAGCCAGGGCATGACTCAGGTCTTCATCTGCTCACCTCAGTGCAGCGCTCAATAATGCATCGCATCAGCAGACCTGCAGAAAACATGATACTCCTGCTCACGGCTTTAGAGAGGGATCTGGCAAGAATAATATTTGAGAACGCTTTGCTTGATGCCTTCACATATAATGCATTACATACGTATTCATAAAGGCATTGCATCTCATAAATAGTTGTAAACAAAGTTAAATGCATCATAATATTTGCAGATTCCTTGTTAATGCATGTAGGGGCGGATTTCTGGACAGTGTTTAAATTAAGCCAGGAGTATAGGCCTAATCTAGAATAGTTAATCTTTGGTTTAAAAAAAGGCTTTCTGAAACACAGATTAAGTACAGATTACTAACTCCTGGACTATGGAGTCCTGAACTAAAATAAACTAGATTAATTTAAAACCAACTATGTTCATCTGAATTAGCAGGACAGAGGTGGCCTGTAAAACATGGAATGAAACGAGAAAAGCTTAACATTGTATGGAACTGAGAAGCAAATCCAAGGAAAACAATAGCAGCGGAAAAAAAAGCCTGCAATCAACGACAACAAAAACAAACAAACAAAAATGTTACTGAACAAGAGAAAACTTGTTTTAAAGCAAGCAAAGTAAACTGCTCACATCAGGTGCCTAGAAATCTCTTTGTAGTGAAGTAATCAGCTGTTGTTTTGTAACATTATTATTATTATTATTATTATTATTGTTGTTGTTGTTGTTGTTGTTGTTGTTGTTATTATTGTTATTATTATTTATATTATACATAAAGCAGCTGTTTTAGAGAGAGTCATGGTCAGAATTATATTGGCACCCTAAAAATATGATCAAAGAGGATTGTGAAAATAAATCTGTATTGTTTATTCTTCTGATCTTTTATTTTTTTTAAAAAGTAAATAAAATACATTTTGAAAATCACAAAAATCTAACTTTTCAACAAAATCACATTATGAAAATATTTTTTTTCTCTAATACACATTGACCACAATTATGTCTAGTCCTAGAAATTATTATAAGTATAATATCTGAAGATATATATTCCCATTCATATTTAAATTTTTTAGAACACCAGGGTGGCTAACATAAAATTATCCAGCCATGATTTACCTTCCTTTCCATTTTACTTCAATGAAAGTTTATTTATTTATTTATTTTATTTTTTTATTTTTTTATAAAATATCAAAATGATTAACAGTGCTGATTTAATTCCACAGGCTTCTTTGTTTAAATCTACAAAGGGTGGCAATAATTTCGATGCATAAAGACTGGAAACACAATGTTAATCTGAAGTTAAACCTGCCTCCTGATAGGTTTAATTTAAGCCCCAATTTAGTAGCAGCTCAAGTCTTCCTCCAAGAAATCAGCCTATTAAAATCTGAACTAGACTAAGTCTGAGACTATTTAAAACCATGACAGAGAAAGCAGTGTTCTGTTAATCTGGTTTAAATTGCCATTTTAGTCTAGGATTAGGTTTAATCTCTGTCCGGGAAACCGCCCCTATAAAACATAACTAAAGGAGTAATTCATCACTGCAAAGATGGGGTTTTAATAAAAGATAGCTGTCTATGCAGTAGAAATGCAATTTTTGTTATTTTAATTGGTGCAACATGACTAGAGAAAACAAAGAAACAGGGCTGTGGCAAAACAAACTGTAGGAAAACGTGCACCCATAATGCACTGGGCTCGATCAGACTATCTGTAAGCAGTAATTTAGTGCAATTTAGTACCTTTTGAAAGAGTGCCGTCCCAGTGAAAGCTTTTGTACCTTTTTTTCCAGAGAGTTTTCCACTTATACCACCAACATTGTAACTATACAAAGAGAGCATTTAGTAGAAAATCTGCAAACATACCCTTTTATTCATCAGGTATACTTTATAATGCATTATACTGTATATACAGTGTTCAAATAAAATATTTTCCAAATATTTCAATCTTTGAACAAGTTACGCAGTTTCTTGCTTTGGGAAAGAAAAACAAAAATGCTAAATTTCAATAAAATCAGACCATCTTTAAAATATTTAAATCACTTGCATTATTTAAAAAGAAAAAAAAAACGAGCTGTAGTCTGGTCACTTGGGTTGTGTTTTCATACAGTCGCTCAGTGACCCGTGCAATCACTTTCTCGTAGGCTATGCAGGTATGTTTTTAACATGATGTGTCATTTTTTATTTATATGCAGTATAATACAGTAGGCCCTATATTTATAATACACTATATAAAGTAAGTTCAAACAAAAAGCCGTGCATGAATGTGAGTTTTATACTGACCGAAAATAGTTTTCTTTAGTATGGAGTTTGGCATGAATCATGAAACATCAGCAAAGGTAATAATCATGCAGTTTAGCATGTTTACTCGCTACAGCCTATTTTTATATTTGATTGCACTTGCTGTTTGGTGAGGGTTAACTTTGGACTTAAAATTACAATCGTATAAAAACTCTATTTTTGCTTATGTACCAATGTTCAACCTTCTGCGAACTCGCTGACCTCCTGATGAAGACAGATGAAGTCTCCCAAAACTGTTGCACTTTCTTACTGTGTCCTGTAGAGAGAGAGGTCACGAGTAAATCCAGAAGAGAGCGGCGTCCCGGGGCACTCAGTCTCTCTGCTGCAGATGGCACAGGGCACATGTTATGCTTAAATCTTCTCTGACACGCGTCTCACTTTGGACAGCATGGGCAATATTGTAAACTCTGTGTGTTCATGACAACCATCTGCCCTCAATTGAATTTTGTGGAGTTTAAACTAAAGCTTGCAGAACATGTGTTCACTTTACTTGTGTTTATAGACAATATAAAGCATGTACACTATAGGGCAAAAGTTTGGATTTTTGTATGTTTTTCAAAAAAGTTGTTTTTTGATGCTTTAATTATACAGTAAAATCAATCATGCTGTGAAATATTGTTTCAATTTAAATAATTGTTTTCGATGTTACCTTAAGTCTATTATGCTCAACAAGGCTGCATTTATTGAATGAAAAGTAAAAAAAGTCATTGTAAATAACATTGTGAAATAACTGTTTTCTACAGTTGTCTCTTTATATTTTTTATGCTCACCAAGGCTTACGTTATTTCATGAAAATACAATAAAAACTGAAATATTGTGAAATATTACAATTTAAAATAGCTGTTTTCTATATGCATATCTGTTAAAATGTAACTGTTTGCTGTGATCGAAGCTAAATTGTCAAAACATCATTACTCCAGTCTTCAGTGTCACATGATCTTCAGAAATCATTCTAATATGCTGATTCGCTGCTCAAGGAAGATGCTGCAAATATTTTTGCTACTTTATACTTTGTGGAAACCATGAAGCTGGTTTTACCCTATTTTTAATCAAATAAATGCAGCCTTGTTGAGCAGAAGGTAACATAGAAAACAGTTATTTTAAATTGAAATACTTTTTCACAATATTGCTGGTTTTACCATATTTTAATCAAATAAACAGTAATATTGTGAAATATTATTACAATTTAAAAGAGCTGTTTTCTATGTGAATATCTGTTAAAATATAATTTATTTCTATGAACAAAACTGTATTTCCAGCATCATTACTCCAGTCTTCAGTGTCACATGATCTTCAGAAATCATTCTAATATGCTGATTCGCTGCTCAAGGAAGATGCTGCAAATATTTTTGCTACTTTATACTTTGTGGAAACCATGAAGCTGGTTTTACCCTATTTTTAATCAAATAAATGCAGCCTTGTTGAGCAGAAGGTAACATAGAAAACAGTTATTTTAAATTGAAATACTTTTTCACAATATTGCTGGTTTTACCATATTTTAATCAAATAAACGCGGCCTTGGTGAGCAGAAGAGACTTCTTTCAAAAATGCTCAAGGCCTGACTCTCTCTCTCTCTCTCTCTCAGAATGATTCCCGCCTCCCATAGGTTGTTTCTACTGAGCGATCTGGCCTCGTCGCGAGACTACGAGCTCTGCGTCCTGGCCGTCTACGACGACGGCATCACGGCTCTGACCGCGACGCGGCTGGTGGGCTGCGTGTCCTTCTCCACGGAGCGCGAGTTTCGCCACTGCCGCTCCATCCACGACCAGTTCCTCGGCGGCACCATGATCATCATCATCGGCGGGATCATCGTGGCGTCGGTCCTCGTCTTCATCTTCATCCTGCTGATGAAGTACAAGCTTCACAGCCAGCACTACAAGCAGAAGGTGGCTCGCGTCAGTAACGTTTGTTCTCAGACCAACGGTGGCCAGCAGGGGGCGGCGTCCTGTCCTCCGCCGCGCTCGTCCTCGTCCTCGGGATTCTCCAGCAAGCCTTCCGTCCCGCTCGGGTCGGACAGACAAGAAGGGTCCCACGGCCTGGAGGGGGGTTACGGAGCGCTTAAAGGGACCACGGTGGTGGACTTGAACCCGGAATACGGGAAATCGTTCAAAGAGGACGACTCCATTTCGCAATAACACAGGGTTCGATCCCGCCTCCCTTCCCATTCTCTTCACATCTCAACTAATTATGTTTCTTTTCTGTTGCCGGCGTCCTGCGTTCTTACCGAGTGTTTTCTCCTGTCCGAGGTGAGGATGCTTTTAATCTGTTAAAGGGATAGTTCACCCAAAAATGAAAATTCTGTCATTAATTACTCACTCACGTCGTTCCAAACCCGTAAGACCTTCGTTCGTCTTCGGAACACAAATTAAGATATTTTTGATGAAATCCGAGAGCTCTCAGACCCTGCATAGACAGCAACACAACTGAAATGTTTGCGAAGCTACGAGAATATTTTTTGTGTGCAGAGAAAACAAAAATTCAGACTTTATTCAACAATCCCGTCTGCAGCGGCGTGCAGAAGAATTGTTGGATAAAGTCGTAATTTTTGTTTTATTTGTGCACAAAAAATATTCTCGTAGCTTCGCACAATCAATAGTCACATGGACTATTTTACCGATGTCCTTACTATGTTTCTGGACCTAGGAACATTTCAGTTGTGTTGCTGTCTATGCAGGGCCTGAGAGCTCTCGGATTTCATCAAAAAAATATCTTAATTTGTGTTCCGAAGACGAACGAAGGTCTTACGGGTTTGGAACGACGTGAGTGAGTAATTAGTGACAGAATTTTCATTGTTGGGTGAACTATCCCTTTAAGGTTTGTTGCTAGGTAGCGGGTTGCCAGTGTGCCCGTAAGACCTTCGTTCGTCTTCGGAACACAAATTAAGATATTTTTGATGAAATCCGAGAGCTCTCAGACCCTGCATAGACAGCAACACAACTGAAATGTTTGCGAAGCTACGAGAATATTTTTTGTGTGCAGAGAAAACAAAAATTCAGACTTTATTCAACAATCCCGTCTGCAGCGGCGTGCAGAAGAATTGTTGGATAAAGTCGTAATTTTTGTTTTATTTGTGCACAAAAAATATTCTCGTAGCTTCGCACAATCAATAGTCACATGGACTATTTTACCGATGTCCTTACTATGTTTCTGGACCTAGGAACATTTCAGTTGTGTTGCTGTCTATGCAGGGCCTGAGAGCTCTCGGATTTCATCAAAAAAATATCTTAATTTGTGTTCCGAAGACGAACGAAGGTCTTACGGGTTTGGAACGACGTGAGTGAGTAATTAGTGACAGAATTTTCATTGTTGGGTGAACTATCCCTTTAAGGTTTGTTGCTAGGTAGCGGGTTGCCAGTGTGATAGAATCTCCCCACAGTGCTGCTGATGCAGAGATGTTCCAGTTCTGTTAATTAGACCAGCTTTAATGGATAAATTACAGGCATAGCGGCTCTGCTGTCTGCCTGTGTCGGGGTAACGGGCCTAAAAAGATTTCCCTGATGGTACGGCACACTTGAGATCGCTATTTAAATTGATAGCCTGACAGTTGTTTCATTCAATAGGATGCATTTGAATTACAAAAGTGTAAAATTGAAACGCTATGATGCCTGGTTTGGATTTTTTGCAACGAAAATGAGAGGAATCCTACGGTTTGCACATCTTAGTACATTAGACTCATGTGTATGTTATGAACATCCCTGCTGAGTATGGAATAGCACATATTACTGTTTTCCTTTGCGAGGTGTGTGTCATGTGTCAAAATATTGGTATTTTGCAGGGTTGTGTTTAAATTATCACTTCAACAAGGTTCAGGATAAATTTAAAAGGGTAGTTCACCCAAAAATGAAAATTCTGTCATTTACTCACCCTTATGTCCAAACCTATGGAATAGCACATATTACTGTTTTCCTTTGCGAGGTGTGTGTCATGTGTCAAAATATTGGTATTTTGCAGGGTTGTGTTTAAATTATCACTTCAACAAGGTTCAGGATAAATTTAAAAGGGTAGTTCACCCAAAAATGAAAATTCTGTCATTTACCCTTATGTCATTCCAAACCTGTACGAGTTTCTTTCCTCGGATGGACACAAAAGAAGATATTTTGAAGAATGTTAACGGTAGCCATTGACTTCCATAGTATGGAAAAAAAAATACTATGGAAGTCAATGGCTACCGTCAACTGTACATTTACCCCCATTCTTTAAAAAAAAAAAAAAATATATATATATATATATGTGTGTGTGTTTTTGTGTTCAACAGAAAAAAGCAATTAATAGAGGTTTGGAACAAGTGGAAGGTAAGGAAATAATGACAGAAGTTTCATTTTTGAGGTGAACTATCACTTTAATGCTGGAATACTATACACTATACTTACTCTAGGCATCATACATTTGCAGACTTGGAAAAACTGGGCATCATACAATAAATGGCTGAGGATCACACAGAAATCAATCTAATATGCTGATTTATTCCTCAAGGAAGAACAGTTGAAAACAGTTTTTTGCTACTTTATACTTTGTAGTAACCAGGATACATTTATTTTTTCAGGATTCTTTGATGAATAGGTAGTTCAGTGAACAGCATTTATTTGAAATATAATCTTTTGTAACATTATAAACATCTTTACTGTTACTTTTGATCCATTTAATGTGTCACTGCTGAATGAGAGTATTCATTTCTTATAAAAAATAAAAAAAAAAATCTACCTTAAATTTATAAATAGTATTGTATCACGGTTTCCACAAAAATATTTAACATGATGACTGTTTTCAACATTGATAATAATCAGAAATGTTTTTTGAGCAGCAAATCAGCATATTAGAATGATTTCTGAAGATCATGTGACACTGAAGACTGGAGTAATGATGCTGAAAATACAGCTGCGCATCACATAAATACATTACATTTTAATATATGTTATATTTAAATGGTAATAATATTTCACAAAATTACTGTTTTATCATATTTGTTTACACTTTCAAATTGTTCCAAAAACAACACATTCACACAGAAACATGCACCTTGTTTCTATGAGATGTTTGAAAAATAAAACAATGTGTTCTAAAATCATGTTTGATCTCCTCCTACAGGATGGAGTCAAAGTCTCAGTCTGTACCCGGGATTTTCTGTGAAATCTGTTACCTCTAATTGCACAAAATCTGCAGACTGACTCTGACTTTTGGCAACTACCACTGATCCATCCACACTTTAATTTGACTGTACAAAGTAGTTTATTCCATCCTTTAGTGCTCCTTGTCAGCTTGTTGGTGAACGTAAAATAATCAGAATGATCCCTATGATGTTGGTTAGTGCTGGTTATGTCACCCATAAACGACACAACTTTCAGAGTCGTCACCGGATTGCTGTACTTTTCATGCTAAGCAACTGTCTGTCATCGTCTATGTCAGTTCCGGTCAATTCCAGTGTGTCACACTAAACAATGACATTTACATATATGTGTTTGGTAAACGTCTTTATCCAAGATACTTATATTGCATTCAGTATTTAAATTTGACCAATTAATGCATTCCCCAGGAATCAAACCCAGACCTACTCTAATGTTTGAGCTACAGAAAATGGATTTGCTTTTGAAGACTTGCTAAAGGTTACATTTAACAGTGCATGATGGAAACCTAAATGTAACAATTTGGAAAATGTGCAAAAACATTTTAAAAACTATTATCGATTGATACCGATAAATTTAACATCTCTAATACTGGCCGATAACCGATACTGTGCTGATATATCATGCATCGCTATGTTGGTCAGCCAGAACAATTATTTTGTCAAGCTATAAACGTTGAGTAAGAAGCAAGGTGGGAACATCAGCACACCAGCATCCAAAACACAACATTCCTCAGCTCGTTTCAGCAAAAAACAAACATTCCAGTTAAAGCCTGAGTGCCCTTGGAGGCACAATCTAGGTTGGCCAGGTTCCTGGTGCTTAGAGCAGTGTTGATAATATCCGGCGGTGGACCACCTCGGCTCTCAGATCCGAGAGAGGAGGCCATTTAACATAACCAGCGGAGAGCCATCTCAGTCAATTGGTCACAGTTGCCTTCTATTGAGGAGTCTCAGAGGAGCCCTGAATGGGCCGGTATGAAAGCGCAGGTTGAAGCTGTTCTCTGTTGGGTGGGAAACAGCGCCCCCAGTGGACAGAAATCTGATGCTGAAGGGCAGAGGAGTCTGTCAGGGTCACTGTCAGGAACTACTTCAAAAGGCTTCTGTAGACAGTGACAGAGAGAGGTTGTTGTTGTAGCACCAGTTAGTCAGTTAGTGCACACCTCTTCTCTGTGTGTGTGTGTGTGTGATTTATGTGTTTGTGTTTGAGGTGT